CTGCCGAGGAAAACTCGTTGAGATTGGACTTCAGAACTAACTGGATTTTTGCCTCAGCCCCAAGAGAAAGTGGTTTGATAAGACTGATGCAGACACAGCAGTGTTGCGATGGATATTTTAGAGCAGCTGTTTTCTCATGCAACCCACCTGGGGTTGGGGGTGTGCCCTGGTTGTGGATCTCAATCTAGATTTAGCGCAGTCGCTGCAATAGGCTCCTAGGGAGGGAGGATGGTAGCTCATGTGAGTGTCCTTTCTGATCTTGTTCTCCGATGTTGGGTTTTTGTTTTAGGACCCTCACAATGAACTGAAAGGAAAAAATGTTCTCATAGTTCAGTATTCCTTGGAACTTACAGCTGCTAGGTTTGGACTGGAATTGGAACAGTTGAAGGCACTGCTTGCTCAGAGCCAGGAGAAACTCTATATGGCGCGCGGGCAGCGGCCACGGCCCCATCTGGACAGCAAGATGCTTGCATCCTGGAACGGTAAGCATTCTTTGTGGGGGGGGGGGTTGCGCTGAGCTCAGTGACACTTGATGCATCTGTGTGGCTACCCATATGAAAGGATAACCTGTAGCTCTGTGGGAAGATGGTATTCGAGTAGGTTTCTCCTATAGTGGGGGAAGTGATAACTAGCAGACTATCAGTCAGTAGCATCTTATCAAATACATGTTTTCTCTTTCTGTCCTGAGGTCAGTGTTATGCAGGTTATGAAGCAGTGGGAAGTCATTTCTAATTCCGGAGGAACAACCTCTGATGCGACCAAAACAGTCTGATGAATGACCCCACCCCCAAATCTTTACCTTTCCCAAGCTCACAAGATACCTATTTTCTGAAAATAGTCTCCTTTTTACAGGCAGGGGGCAGCAGAGTCTTTCTCTTGTTTTTCTTCTAGAGTCCTTGGGAGGTCTTTCTTAACTGATACACTGATGTTACTGTGGTTTTTCACATTATTTAAACACATGAGGGCACTACTGTCCCTTATAGAATGAAGTTACATGAAAATATAATGGGAGAAACTGTCGACACATGCCTGTCTCCTGAGAGAATGCCTATATTCAGCAAATCATTCCAGGCTTCATGGGGTTTTCTTTCAGAAATTAGTTTGGCTCCTGAGAGTACACATCTTTTTAAAAGTACTGGGAGAAGTAATGATTAAAGCTATAAAATCTATTTTGTTATGGCTAAATGCTGATAATTGCCAAGGGGCAGCTTCCACACATGTACCCATTTGGTCTGCATTGTTCTGCCAAGTGAAGAGGAAGATCTTAGAACCCTCCTTCTGTTTACCCTGATCTCTGGCCAGGAGTGGAAGTATGGCAGAACTTTTCTCACAACAGAGTTCTATGGCCGAGGTAACAGTCTTATCAAATGATTCCATGTTAGAATCCTCCTTCTGTTTACCCTGCTCTCTGGCCAGGAGTGGAAGTATGGCAGAATTTTTCTCACAACAGAGTACTATGGCCGAGGTAACAGTCTTATCAAATGATTCCATGCACATTGTGGTAGGGTTGCCACCCTCCAGATGGGCCCTAGAGTTCTCCCAGAATTACAGCTGCTCTCCAGACCATAGAGATCAGTTCCCATGGAAAAAAATGGCAGCTTTGGAGGGTGGACTCTATGGAAGCACATACCCACTGAGCTCCCTCCCCAGGAATTTCCCAAACCAGAGGTGGCAACCCTTCTTTGTGGTAAGTTGTCACTTGGTAAATGGTGGTCTGTATTCATCTTTCATTTAGTCCCCGTTGAAAGCCACCTCTGTAAGCAGCCATTTTAATGAGAATTGGCCAGGCATCATTCCAACTCTGTTGGAAGCTGTGAATGGCTTCTGACCTGTTTTCTGGCTGTGCTGAAATAGTCAGGAGAAATGAGTTTACAGAATACTTAAGGGTATCAAACTGAGCACTGGCTAGTGCCGTTCTTCGAATGTGACCGCGTGCCTTTTCCCCCCTCCCAGGGCTGATGATTTCTGGCTTTGCTCAGAGTGGAGCCATCTTGGGGAAGAAGGAGTATGTTGACCGGGCTGCTTCTGCAGCTAACTTCTTGCAGAGCCACATGTTTAATACCATCTCTGGAAAACTTCTCAGGAGCTGCTACCAGGGCAAAGACAAGTCAGTGGAGCAAAGGTGAGTTGTGGTGGTTGTCCTTCTGTGATGCCACTCTTCTAGCTGATACGTTTGTGGGAGAAGGCAATTGAAGAATGGAGATAACCAGGAGTGGGCTTTCTCCCTCCAAGTGGTATCTAGGAAAGATTCAGATCCTCCACCCCACCCCACCCCCCCAAAAATCTTGAGAATATTTAACTTTCTAAAACGATTTTGGAAAAGCATTGAGAGATTATGATCTGAGAGCTTTATAGGTAAAGGTAAAGGTTCCCTTGCTCGAAAGCCAGTCGAATCCGACTCTAGGGTTGCGGTGCTCATCTCTGTTTCAAAGCCGAAGAGCCAGCGCTGTCTGAAGACGTTTCCGTGGTCATGTGGCCAGCATGACTAAACACCAAGGCGCACGGAACGCTGTTACCTTCCCACCGAAGTGGTACCTATTTATCTACTTGCAATTTCTTGCTTTCGAACTGCTAGGTTGGCAGGAGCTGGAACTAGAGATGGGAGCTCAGTCCGTCATGCGGCACACTCGGGTCTCAAACTGCTGAACTACTTCAGTGTCTTAACCACTTGAGCCACCGCAGCTCAAGTGCATGGTTTATAGTGCATGGTTAATAGATCCTGGCTGGTGCAACCTTCCTCACTCCCTGGAACTCACTGGCAAAACCTCCCCCCCCCCTTGTTATTGGCTTTGGATTGTATTCTGAATGAGTAGTGAAGTGTGTGACCTTGTGAGAGATGAGTGTAGCTCTTGCTTTCACACCAGCTTTGTACTTTGGGCAGCAGAGGGGGGGGGGGGGGTCTGTCTCTTTTGAAGCACTATGAAGTCTGAATAACAGAAGCAATGTTTTAATAAACAGAACAAAGTGTGAGTCCAGTGGCACCTTTAAGACTAACAACGTTTAATTCTGGGTATAAGCTTTTGTGTGCATGCATATTTCTTCAGATACACTGAAACAGACTTCACCAACCATTACATACAGGCAGGGGAGGGTAGTTGCCAGGAAGGGCTAAGTGGAGTCAAGATGCCTAAGTAACTGAGCAATAAGTATAGCCAAGATTGGACTAAAGCAGTGGGTAAAACCTGTAAATAGTAAATTTGCATACAGATAATACAAGAGTTAACAAACAGATAAAAGAACTGAGTGACTTAGCATGTGCAGTGAAATAGGAACCGGATATCTCTGTTAAGCCCTGGGGGTTCCATTGTCCTGAGTGTTGTAATAACTTGTAATTCAGCAGTCTCCCATTCTAGTCTGTTTCTGAAATTCCTTTGCAATAAAGTAGCTACTTTGATCTCCAAAGACACTCAGTGGGGGACCTCAAAGCAGCTACTTTATTGCAAAGGAATTTCAGAAACAGACTAGAATGGGAGACTGCTGAATTACAAGTTATTACAACACTCAGGACAATGGAACCCCCAGGGCTTAACAGAGATATCCTGTTCTTGTCTCACTACACATGCTAAGACTCAGTTTTCACATCTGTTTGTTAACTCTTTTTTATTATCTGTATGCTGCTTTGCTGCTAGTTACAGTTTTTACTTTACTTTGCTTTAGTCCTATCTTGGCTATACTTATTGCTCAGTTACTTAGGCATCTTGACTCCAATTAGCCCTTCCTGGCAACTACCCCACCACCTATATGTAATGGTTGGCAAAGCCTTTTTCAATGTATCTGAAGAAGTGTGCATGCACACAAAAGCTTATACCCAGAACTAAACTTTGTTGGTCTTAAAGGGGCCACTGGACTCTTTGTTCTGTTGCTTCAGACTAACACGATTACTTACCTCAATAATAAACATAATATTTTTCCTAACTGCTTCAGTTGTGTTCCCACAACACTTCCTTACAACAGCCTTGCAGAGTAGGCCAGAATCATTATCCCCCGTATTATAGCTGGCAGGCTAAGGCAGAATGGCAGAGGCTTCCTTAAGGTCATCCAAGCGTTTGAACTGGCCCATCCTAGCTCGTAGTTGTCACTGAAGGGCACCACCTTCTACACGGTGGAAGCAGTTCTAGGGTGGAGACCAGTGAACTCCATCCATCTGAGAATGAGTGTTGTAGAAGGAAGGTATCTCCTGAACCAGCCAGTGCATGTGCATGTACACTGCAGTCTGGGCTGCCACAAGAAGGGGACACACAAAACACACAATGGGGCAGGCCTGGCAGTAGCACAAGCCCTTCCTGTGTTGCCAAGATTGCTGAATCTCACCAGGGCATTGCAGCAGATGCTTGGCTTGCGATGGCCAGCTCTGCCCATCAAATGATGTCTAGCCAGCAGAAACCACCAGACTAACCCTCCTCGTGGCTTGCTCCTTGTTCTTCCCAAAGACAGCTCTTCTCTCAATCAAAACAGATTGAGCTTGTGCCAACAGACTGGGGGAAAAAGAAGGAGGACAGTTTGCCTGGCTACTGAATGCAAACAGGAGCCAGAGTGTTCTCTCCTCTTGCTTAAGGCCTGGCCCATGAAGGGGGACAGTGAAAAATTGGGGAGAGAACACAAATGAGAATGGGGGTGGGTGTTTAATTTTAAAAATTGGTTTACATTTATCTTTCCAAGCAGCAGCAGCTTTTTCCCAGTTTAACTCCATGAGTATGATACTTCACCTCTGTAACCTGTGTGTGGCAACCTCAGTAGGGCAGGAAACACTGTTGTTTTTCTGTAGCCCCCCCCCCCCCCCCCCAAACCACAGATTGTCTCTCAGCCAGCCATTTATTTGCTTTGACTCAGGGAATAAATTGAGGACTCGTCCTTTGAAATGGATTTGTTCTCCAGCCATTCCACCCCGAGCCAAAAGGCCTTACACTGTTTTTCCAGAAGTGCCCATGCTATGTCTTCCAGTCCTCCCAGGGGAAACAGCAGTAAAATACTGCTGCATAACCCAGTGGGCCCAATGGGAATTCAGCAGTAGTTTCTAGTGTGAACTGGCAATACACTGCGGGTGCAAACACACCCTTGCTCCAGTATCTCATTCTCACCCCATTCTCATAGTGGACAAGAGCAGAAGTAGCAAATAATTACTTTGCCAGTACTGCCCCCCCCCTTCAGTTCCGTGCTGGGGAAATAGCGCAGGAGTGGATCCCATCGGTCTGCGGTGCTCGACTGGCATCCAGAACCATTGACCGTGTCCCCCTTTCTCTGTGATTTTGCTCATGTCGCTGTGCTCCTCTGCAGTTCTGTCCCCATCCACGGGTTTCTGGAGGACTATGTCTTTGTTATCCAAGCCCTCTTTGACCTTTACGAGGCCTCACTGGACCCCAGGTGGCTGGAGTGGGCCGTGCAGCTCCAGCACAAGCAAGACGAACTTTTCTGGGATCCTGAGGGCTTCGCTTACTTCTCTACGGAGGCCGCAGACCCTTCCTTGTTCCTCCGCCTGAAGGATGGTAAGTGTCTTGTCAGGGGTCTTATAACTGAGGGCCCCATCCTGGGTGAAGAAAGCCTTGGCAGAAACGCCTGTTTGGGTGCAGTGGTGCAGGTAGTCAAGGCCTGCCAAAAAAAAAAAAATCCTATGCCAAACAACTTGCAGGGCTCTTTTTGTAGCAGGTACTCATTTGCATATTAAGTGACACACCCCTAATTTAGCCAATCCTCCAAGAGCTTACAGTAGCTCCTGTAAGAAGAGCTCTGTAAGCTCTTGGAGAATTGGCTACATTAGGGGTGTGTGGCCTAATATGCAACGGAGTTCCTGCTACAAAAAGAACAGTAACTGTAGAATGGGGAACCAACAAGAAATGGTGTTCTGAAACTGCAGGGTTTGTAAGTAGGGATTCCACATGTCTAGTTCTGCAGCAGTGAAATGCCTTTCTGGAGCAGGAACCTCGGTTCTATAACCACTGTATGTTACAGTCAGGGAATTAGTGCTCACTGAACCTACTAGCAGGTGTCCAATGACCAGGAGCCACATGGAGTAGCAGCCATGTGGGTGGGGAGGTTGCAGAGGGAAGGGGAAGGGGGGGGGGAAATCACTCCCATCCTCTGTCGGAGCTCCACTTAAGGGACAGAGAGGAACGAGTGATTTGGCCCTCTTCCACCACCTCATCGCAAGCTCCCAATCCCCGAGGCTATTATGCAATGCAGGTCTTGCAGCCCCGGGAATAAAGTTTTCCAGGACTGGAAATGGTTGTTGAGAGAAAGGGAATGCCAGGAACACCTGCAGCTGCCAGTGCCTTTGACTGATGGATCGCAGGATCCAACCCATTACGGACCCCTACTTACCCCACTGTGCTGTTCCTGATGGTCCACTAACCAGCAGGAACAGAATTTAGGTCGGTTCAGTGGGCTGCAGCATAAGGCAGAAGTGGGGAAGTTATGCTCTATGGAGTCTGTCGCTTGTTGGATACACACCAATGCAATAGCATCTAATTTCTGAATTTGCCTGTACCTTTATTTTGGAATGTCAGTGTCCACAACAATCTGTGGAGGGATTATCAGCCTTAGAGTGAGGCGTGGAAAGGCAGCTGTGCTGGTTTGGATATAGAATGGGGAAAACTCAGGAAAGAAGGGAGGGAGGGTGGGATGCTCAAGATGCTGCTGCTTCTGCACCAGTCTTCTCTCAAAGTACAGATCTCCACAACTGGGTCCATGAACTCTTTCCTTTCAACTAGCAGCTGTTGCCAGGTACATTTGCAAGAGGCAATTCTTTGATTCCATCTCATTCTCCAAATTGTTCTGCAGTTACATACTTAGTAAATCTACAAGGGACTGCTAGAAAAAAGTGCCATGAATAGGATCCCCCCCCCCCGATTTCATAGAGGAAAGTAATCTAGAACAAACACAATTTAAGATGGATTCACCCGATGAAGGGTAGTCACTCTTTACACCACAAGGTCACTTTCTCAGTTATGAGGAAGATCTCCATACCTTTGCCGCTGTTTTGGACTGTTTGACCAGATTAAGGGACTGGCCTTGGTTTGACAGCCTTGGGCAGCAATCCTAAAAGCACTTCCATGGGAATAAGCCACACTGAATAAAATGGGGTTTACTCCTGAGTAGACCTCCTGAAGTTTGCTCCTTTGGCCTTTTATTACTGTCCAGCATCCATGAGAGGAGGAAGCCAAATTCTAGTTGGAAAAAGTGGTTGTGTGGATCCATACAACGTGTGAAGAGGAGAATTTAATGCATCCTTTCACTTTTTGAGATTGTCATTGACTGATGATGGGTGTGGCTTTCCCTGTCAGGACCTTGGTGGTTTGGTATGCTTGACTTTGACAAGACATGTGCAATGCTCCCTCTAAGCTGTGGAGTCTTGTGAGCAAAAATTCTACTTTGTGAGCTCCTGGCATTAAAGTTGTGAGTGAGCAATTTGGCTGCTGCATAAATTAGTTTGCACTGGAGCCCTCCTTCCTAAGACAAAAATGTGTGAGCCAGAGGCTAAAAAACTGTGAGCTAGCTCACACTAACTCAGCTTAGAGGGAACACTGGACATGTGTGTACAGTGTGGGCAAGATTGGTACCGGTGTGGAAATGCCAATCTGCCCTTTCGTAGTATTCCCAGTGCCTTTCCGTACTTGGTATCGCTACATGGCTATCTCCTGAGGCTTCTGCGTGGTGCCTCTCCTCAGGGGGATGTTTGCTGAATCCACAGCCCCGACTCATGCTCCAGTTTCCAGTCTTGAAAGAGACAAACACGGGTATTTTGAGCTTGGTACATGAGCAAGGCACAGAGGAATGAATCAGACAAGCATCTCTTCTGGCAGAGTGTATAAGTGTGTCAGTCTTTGGGTGCATCCAGGTAGTCAGCTGTGTTGGTCTGAAGCAGTAGAACAAATTTAGAGTCCAGTGGCACCTTTAAGTGCCACTTCGGGTGCATGTGTGCCTTATTGTTCAGCCTTTACTTGCAGATTGGCGAGATGGCCTCACTTCTACATGACATCATGTTCGCAGGCTACATGCTGTCAGTCCTGTTCAACCATAAGTGGACCTGTGTGTATGCCAAGATCAGATGTTGGCTGAGCTGCTCTGATGTCACAGAGGCAGGCCGTCTGAGGGCAAATGGGAGAAATTACCTTTTGAAACCCAATCTCCATGAGCATCTGTTCATTTCTCATGTTTAAATTAGATCAGGTAAAATATTGTCTAAATGCACTGGGCCTTTAATAGACACTGTCTGGATGCAAATCCAGTAGGAAGGTTTCAGAGACCTTAGCTAGAAAACCATTGGCTGCAGGCGGAGGATGCTTAATGCTTGAGTTAATGGGAATTGGCTGAGATGAAGCAGTGCTTCTTGGGTTGCTGCTGGACTGTCATTTTTTCCCCTCCTGTAGACCAAGATGGTGCAGAGCCCAGCCCAAACTCTGTTGCTGTCACCAACTTGCTCCGGGCAGCCAGCTATACAGGCCACAAGGAGTGGGTGAAAAAAGCTGGGCAGATCTTGGCCGCCTACTCAGAGAGGCTCCTGAAGATCCCTGTGGTCCTCCCAGAGATGGCCCGAGCCACTGCAGCCTCTCATCTGACTCTCAAACAGGTATTCTGGCTGGGAAAGGTGTAAGAGCCCTCCGTTGGAGGCCAGCATCCCTAGACAGTTAGCACTAGTAGATCAGCAGAGGTTTACTTTCTGAAATCTTTTTGCCATCTTATGAACGTCACTAGCAAGGTACACTTTGCTGGGTCCCTCCAGTTCTCTGTTTCTTTCTGTCAGCCTTTGCTATTCCTCTGAATTGAGGGGAGGGGCCGTGGCTCAGTAGTGGACCATCTGCTTTGCCCGCAGAAGGTCACGTGAACACAGGAACCAGTATTGTCTGCTCTGACTGGCCGTGGCTCACTGGTAGAGGTCTTTCACACTGCCTCTTAATTGCGGCGGATTGTGCCTGGGACCTTCCACTTGCAAATAAGGTGCACCGTGCTAAGGCACAACCCAGGTTCAATTCTCTGCATCTCCAGTTAAAAGGATCAGGTAGTAGGCACCCCTGCTTGAGATCCTGTTGAGCTGTTGCCAGATAGTGTAGACGATATTGGCATTAAAAGGTTAAAGCGTTTGGTCAGTATAAAGCCGCTTCTGGTGCCTAATTTGCTAGGACTGTGTATGGCTCCTTGTTGCAAGGGCTGAACATGGGTGATCTGCAGGCCCCATTGAAGCTTTAGGGTCCCACAGTTGCCTCCTCCTGATTAATTTCTTGCAGCATTTTGCTTTTTGGTCACTGCTTTGTGTGAGGGTGGCCCTGGTGCAGGCAGTCATGGGTAAGCGTCCTGGTACACAAATTCTGCCTTGGGGCACCACATGGTCTTGACTTGAACTTGAGACACTGGAGTCCACTTCTTAACAGCCTGAAATTTCATTAAGGGCAATCTGTAAACTGACTGCTGAGCCTCCTGTCGCTCCCCAAAGCAGTTTTCAAAGCTGAGGTTCCTCTACCACCATCTGCAGCCTGTGAAGATCCGGCTTTCCCTAGCAGTAGCTGCCAAGGTTCTGTATCCTGTTCCAGGCAGAGCCTGTGGAGAACCATGGGAGTTCCTGCCTGCCTGCCTAGCAGCAAATGGGATTGCCAAGAGTCCTTCATCCTCAGATTTCTGCTCCAAAATCTAATTAGGGAGCCTGTTCACTGCCCTCAATACTCCCCCTGCCTTAATGCCAAGTGGCAGCCCACAGTTTGGCAGCAGCATGAAAGAAAGAAAGAAAGAAAGAAAGAAAGAAAGAAAGAAAGAAAGAAAGAAAGAAAGAAAGAAAGAAAGAAAGAAAGATGGGAGGATAGAAAACATTTATTTGCATCTGGCTACAAGATGTTCCTTTAATTCTTCAGAATATAGGTTGTGCCTAATCTGTTGTCAGTGGGGCACATTAGGTGTGTACTTGATAGTTGTTTTAGCTTTACTGTTTAGTGTTACATTTTTCTGTCCCTTTGCATATGATAATGTCTTTTTTGTGTTTGTGTGTGTGATTTTCTTCTTTTGATTGCTGCCACCCTGAACCCTAGTCAGTGACACGACCAGAACCTCCAGCATAACAGTTGCACCATCCCATTGCACTTTGAGCAGTAAAAGATCTTGAATTGGACTTAGGGTTGCCAAGTGGAATTTACCTTGGCGGCGGGGGACTCCCGGGTGGATCCCGAAGTGCGCGTGCGCTGCACATACGTCACTTGGTGACGTTATGACGCTGGGCACGTTGGGGGCGGGGCCACGACCATACAAGGGAAAACCATAGAGCTTTCCCTTGTATGGCTGTGGCCCCGCCCCCAGCGTGCCCGGCGTGCCTGCATCACTTCTGGGTGACGCGCACGTCGGGGAGGAGTTCCCCCCAGGGCCCGATCCGGCACCGCCGGGGAACGGGCCTCTGGGGCGGGGGTTTCCCAGCCCCCCGGGGGGACTTGGGATCCCTAATTGGACTGCACACCTAGGCCCAGATTAATCCAAACCTAAAAATCTGGTCTCGACTTTGTACTGCAGATCAACTGTAAGACTGGTAGGAGGAGGTTGCCTATAATTTGCTTCTGCATAAGGGTAGTGTAGTGATTTCCATACTACAGAGAGTATAATGTAAAGGAGAAGGGAGAGAAAGAAGCAGTGTCCTTGGCCTTAGGTCTGGCTTTTCCTAACAAGAGTGCAAGGGATCCTTCATGTATTTAGTTCCATTAGTTGAAAAGTTGAAATGTTGCAGGGCCCTTAAGCCTCTATATTGAGAGTCCTTTTTCAGTGGATGTAGAAAGAATGTGGAATGAATTTTTGCTCCACTGCTTGAGAGTCCAAGATGGTTGCATTTTGCTGATGTGTCTCAGTTGAGGATTTTTCTGAGCATGTTTTGCTCTTTAGGGAAGATTCAAAGCACATCCCTATTTTGTTTTTTTCTCCCCTCTGGACAGGTTGTTATTTGTGGTGATCCATCCAGAGAAGACACTAGAGAGTTGCTGCATTGTGTTTACACTACCTATACTCCAAACAGGGTAAGAACCACCAGTGAATAGCTGCTTTCTTCTTCTTCTGGATATTTTAGCCATGATGTTTCCTTCCCAGGATGTAGTACATTGGGGAATGATGAATAGATGATCCTCACAAAGTCAAGGTCAGCTAAGGGAGAGGCCCAGAAGGGCCAGGCCCATCAAACAGCAGGCCCATCCTACCTAGTTCAGGTCTGAAGAGTAATAAGGCACCAAGCATTGATTTATGCTGAGGGGCAGGTGGTGTAGAATCAGTGCCAGGCAATCCAAGAGGATTCATCGCAGGAAACAGGCAGAAGTCAAGAGATGTGGCATTTTGCTCAAGGATCATTTCCCAAAGAGCTGCTGTTGTGTGTGTGTGTGTTTTTTTTTTTGGGGGGGGGGTAGTAAAACAAACAGAGCAGGGTAAAACGAGAGCAAGGGGGAGGCTGAAGACGGGGGAGAGAACCCAGGGATTGAAATAGAGGGCTTGTAGGCATAGCTAGCCATGCAAGGGAACGCTCTATTAGGCTGGTAAAAAGAGACTGCAGCAAGACAATTGCATTTAGGGTTCAATGGCAGAGGAAGTTATTGATGACCAGTCCCAGTTTCTTGGGCTCAAGACTAGCAGGAGAGGGGCTTCCGGTCGAGCCAAGATGGAGGACTGACGCACTTTCACTTTTGTGCGAAGTGGGCGACGGCTGCTTTTGACAGTTTGGGCAGTTTCTAGCCCAGCGCATCGCTCCCCAGCGAGGGGGGGGGGACAAGCAGGCAGCAGCGCCTAAGAGGGAGTGTTAGGTTGGCGTGATTCCGCTTCGGAAGAAGCGGAAACAGGCTTTGATCTCCTCCCGCGAAGAAGGCAATTGCCGAGCAACTCTCCAGCAGCCGTTCGGGCCGGTGTACCGGTTTAAATTCTCCATCAGCCGACCTCTTGAAGATGGGCAACAACAGTGAGTGAAAAGAAGCAATGCGAAAGCCCGTTTTGATCGTGTAGATAACAATAAACGTGCCGCTTACCTGAACTGCGTTAAAAAATAAATTGAATCAAGCGGATGAGCGGATAAAGAATTAATATTCCCAGAACTCTGATTCCGGCAAAGAAATAGTTGATTGAAGGCTATAAAACAGCAAAAAAGCATTTTGTTTAACATTCCTGCGGTGAGGACGGAGCTGAGCGCGCAGCAGAAAAAACCGAAACTGACGAACAGTATCGCGGGAAGATGTAGGTTGGTGTAACCGGCAAAGTATTCCGAGTAGGTTGAGCAGTGAGAAGATATCCTAGAAGGGTAACAATCAACAGGAAGAAACTCGGACTCTTCAAACTGCAGGACCGGATGTGAGTGTATGCGAACAGACGGGACCTGCAGAACGCCAAACCGACCTACTCTATCCCTAATTACCATAGAGAAGTTGTGCCCGACATTTTGAGGAGGACTTTAACTTAATTTGATTTTTAAAGACCTTTTAGAAGATTTTTGAAAGCGCAAATAGACGCATTTGGACAATCGAAAGCTTATCTTCTAGAAGAAACAACTTGTTGTGTAAGTTTGCGCACCGCAGAGAAATCGCCAAAACGGAGACCAGAAGGGCACCGAAACGAACCAATTCTGACCCTGACGTTCAACCAGTTGTGAGACCAAGGACAGGCTCAACATCAACCCCTAAAATGTCAAAAGAGAGGGAGAAGGATAAGAAAGAATTGTATGCAGCCATGGAATTGATGGAGAAAAGAATGATGGAGGCGATTCAGGCCATGGGTGAGCAGATTGAGAAAAGGTTGGGGGTGCAAGAAAAACATATGGAGCAGCAACTGGAAGAGCAAATGGCAAAGCAAACTCAGATACACTTGAAACAAATTGAAGAAGCCCAGGAGAAAAATGTAGCAGCATTAAAAGAATTGGTTACAACAGAAATTACTTCAATCAAGCAAGAATTAGATGGAGTCAGAAAAGAAATACAGGCTAGTGCAACCAAAACTACAGAGACAGAGGAAAAAATGCAACAATTGGAAGAGAAACAGGATTCTTTGACTCAGCAATTTAGGAGATCTGAAACAATGATGGAGTTCAGAAGAATGCAAACTCATTTGAGATTTAGAGGTATCAAAGAAAAAGAGAATGAAAACATAAGAGAGGAAATGATAAAAGCGATCACTTTGTACTTGGAAGAGGAAGAGGGAACAATGGAAGCAGATTTTGATTTGATATACAGAGTGAACTCCAGAATTGCGGAAAAGAAAAATTTACCAAGGGATGTAATTGTACAATTTGTAACAAGAGCAACAACAGAAGACATCTTTAAGAAACAATTTACCGTCCCGTTCGAAATTGAAGGGAACAAGATCATGGTGATGAGAGAGCTCCCACGAGCAGTATTGCAAGATAGAAAAAGGTATAAACCTCTGGCTGACAAACTGAAGACCTTGAATATCAGATACAGATGGGAGATTCCACAAGGCTTATCCTTTACTTACAAAAGTGGGAGGGTCCAGATCAGATCGGTGACGGACTTATATAAATTTAAGGCAGACAATTTAGATGCCTTTGGAGAAATTTAACTTAAAATTTACAATGGATTACAAATTGTTGTCATGGAATGTGAATGGACTAAATTCACCAAATAAGAGAAAAAGAATCAATCATTGGATACAAAAACAAAACTGTAATGTGATATGCTTGCAAGAAACTCATATTAGAAATTCCGATACTAAATATTTAAAAAATGTCAAATTTGGATTAGAATTTTATTCTTCGGCCTCAAACAAGAAAAAAGGAGTTGTGACATATGTGAAAAAGGATTTACAACCTAAAGAAATTTTTAAAGACTTGGATGGAAGATATGTGGGTGTGGAAGTTTTGATCCAACAGAAAAAGACATTGGTGATCAATCTATACGCACCCAATGGAGCAAAAGAAAAATTCTTTAAGGACTTAACTGAACATCTACAAGGACAAACCTATGAACAAGTCATTTTGGTCGGAGATTTTAACGGAACTGTGGACCGTTTGGATAGAAGATCACAAAAAGGCAACGAAATTAGTGGAAAATTGCCAAAGAACTTTTTTGAAATAGTCAAGCAGGAAAAACTAGAGGATGTATGGAGGAAATGGAACCCGACGCAGAAGGATTTTACTTTTTATTCCAATAGACATTGCTCTTTTTCCAGAATTGATATGATTTGGATGTCAGAAGAATTGTCAATGAAAACACATAAAATTGAAATTTTGCCAAGATGTAATTCCGACCACAACCCTGTTTTGTGGACTTCTATAGAAAGGAACAAATCCTTTCTTTGGAGAATTAATGAAGATTTGTTGGATAAAAAAGATGTAACTGAAATGTTAAAGGAAGAAACAAAGCAATTTTTCCAACAAAATCTGAATAAAGAGACCCCAATTCAGGTGGTGTGGGATGCGTATAAAGCAGTGATGAGAGGGATTCTCATCTCTCAAAATGCGAAGCAAAAGAAGGAAAAATTTCAAAAACAAACAGTAGTGTTGGAAAAAATATCACAAAAAGAAAAAGAATTAAAGAAGAAACCAGGGAAAAAGAAGATTATTCGAGAATTACAGTTGTTGAAAGAACAACTGAATGAAACTTTAAACCAGGAGCTCTATTGGAATTTAAAGAGGCTACAGCAAAAATCTTTTGAAGGGGCAAATAAACCGGGGAAATTTTTAGCGTGGCAACTTAAGGCTAGAAAAGAAAGAAGAATGATAACCAAAATAATAGAAGAAGGAAAAGAATTCGTTGACCCTACTGGCATAAAGAGAAGTTTCTTCAAGTATTATGCTAAATTATTCCAAGCAAATAGAACAGATCTTGAGAAGATTAAAAAATATTTGGACAAGGTTCCGTTACTTAAAATAAGCAACGAATTTCAGGAATTACTGAATGGCCAAATTCAAAAAGAAGAAGTGAGGAAGGCAATTGAAGAAGCGAAGTTGGGGAAGGCGCCAGGACCGGACGGATTTACCGCAAAGTTTTATAAAAAAATGAAAGAAGAAATTGTTCCGGTCATGGAAGCTTTATCCAACGATATACGTGAGAGTAAGAAGGTGCCAGACTCTTGGAAAGAAGCAATTATTTCATTAATACCAAAGGAAGGACAAGAACCAACGAATGTGAAAAACTATAGGCCAATTTCTCTTTTGAATAATGATTACAAGATTTTTGCAAAAATTATTGCAGAGAGGGTGAAAAACTATTTACAAACAGTGATTTCAGAAGACCAAGCTGGTTTTTTACCAAAGAGACAGATCAGAGACAATGTAAGAATAGTAATGGACGCAATTGAATATTATGAGAAACACCCTGAACAAGAAGTAGCTTTTTTATTTATCGATGCCGAAAAGGCATTTGACAATCTTAACTGGAAGTTTATGCTGCAAATGATGGAAAAAATAGAAGTGGGACAACACTTCAGAAATTGCATTGAAGCTATCTATTCTGAACAAAGAGCTAAACTGAATGTAAACAAAGAACTGACAGATAGCTTCAAGGTACAGAAAGGCACCAGACAGGGTTGTCCCCTATCACCGTTATTATTTATCTGGGTGTTGGAGATACTTCTACAAAAAATACAGCAAGATCAAGAGATAACGGGATTGACACACAAAGGACTTAAATACAAATATCGAGCATTTGCTGACGATGTAATGTTCATTGTGCAAAACCCGACAGACAAATTACCGTTACTATTCCAAAAAATAAAGGACTTTGGAGAATTGGCCGGATTTTATGTCAATAAGAACAAGACGAAGCTTATTTGCAAAAACATGACGAAACAAAAACAAATGGAACTGCAAGACCTGGTACAATGTGAAGTAGTAAAAAAGACTAAATATCTTGGTATTGAGTTAACTGCAAGAAATATAGACTTATATAAGAACAATTATGAAAAACTATGGACTAAGTTAACTCAAGACTTTAAGAAATGGGACAAAATGAATTTGTCACTGATGGGAAGAATATCAGTCATAAAAATGAATGTCCTACCACGTTTGATGTTCCTGTTCCAAACAATA